ACTTGTTTGTTCAAACAATTATCGATGAAGGTGGCATTTCTTGTTGCTGTAACTTCGGCCAGAAGAATCTCTGAACTGGCTGCTCTTTCAGTGAGGAAGGACCTGTGTACCTTCCATAATGACAGGGTAACCCTTAGGCTAGACCTCTCCTTCCTGCCCAAAGTTAATTCCTTGTATCATAGATCTCAGGAAATAGTTTTGCCGGACTTCTGTCCTAACCCATCTAATGACATAGAGGTCCAGTGGAACAAATTGGATGTGCGCAGGGCTTTATATTGTTATATACAGAGAACCTCATCCTTCCGCAAGACAGAAGCTCTGTTTGTGTCATTTCACCCTTCGTCACTAGGACAAAAGGTTTCTTTACCCACAATAGGCAGGTGGATTAGAGCTTGTATTTCTCTGGCATACCAGACTCAGTCACTGCAAGCTCCTAGGCATATCACAGCCCATTCCACCCGGGGCGCAGCTACTACAGCTGCCTGGTCTATCCAGGCCTCCATAGAGGAAATTTGTAGAGCAGCAACATGGGCATTGCCCTCTTCTTTTGTCCATCACTATAAGATGGATATATATGCCTCTTCTACGGCTTCATTTGGCCGCAAGGTTCTAGAACACGCATTAACGTTGGATGGGACCCAGGCCCAATCTAATTCCCACCCCTAGGGACACAGGGCTTTGGTATGTCGCATCCGTGGGTTCTCCATCCAATCATGCTGGAGAAAGGGGCGTTGTCTTACCTGAACGCCTTTTCTCAGCATGATGATGGAGAATCCACTCCCTCCCATAAGGTCAGTTGGCCTGGTTCCCATATTGATCAGATGCATCGGACTAAAGTCTGAGTATCGCCTTAGCCTAAAACTGGGGTGCAGTTGGCACAGCGGGAGCGGTACTAAATTTCAGACTTAGTCTAATTGGAGCAGATAGATTAAGACAACCCATCTGTGGATTCTCCATCATCATGCTGAGAAAAGGCGTTCAGGTAAGACAACGCCCCTTTCACCCTCATCTGCGCAGGATTCTTAAAAGTAATCACCATGAAGTGTCATACTCCAATGTTTTTGAGTACATTCCATATGTTTTTAGGTATAAGGTTAATACATTTGGGGCTTTGTATATTATTCAGTTAAATTAGGTTATCTTGTCACTACCAAAAACATTTTTTTTGCTTTTGTTCCCAGTTGTTTATTGAGATTTTCTAACATATAATGACACTCAAACAGTCTCTAATTATGTTCTTGTAATGCCAACCTATGCCTTTATTTAATAATTACCAGCTTCACCAATAATCACTTTGTTTCACAAACTGTACAAAAGACTAACTTAACTTTGATTTAGCAACAAATTAAGCTATAGTGAATGAAATTTAGGGAGTACAGAGTATCTTTATGTGTCCTGCTTAAACAGAAGTATTATGTAACTTTCATAAAGGCATAGCTTATGAGGAAGCATACTCTCCTTCAGCTAGTTTAGTATGATCTTGGGTGCTGAAATATCCCTGGAGCAGGGGAGATCTTGAGATAATCCATGTGATACTCCAGACAGCCACTCCTCATGAAAATGAATTTTGTGGGTTTTTTTTTTTTTGTTTATGAGTTGAGCAGCTTGAGGGAGAAACAAGCTGTGTGTCAACACTGCAAATACTGTATATTCTTGCTTTGACAATATGCAGAACTATCTGGTATTTTTGGGGTTAATATAGAGCAGAGGAGGGTGGGGTAAAGCCTGGGAAAGAAAGGAAGGAAGGAAACCTTTGACCTTCACACTAATTGGATAATGTGATATATGACAGCTAATTTAGGGAGGGAACATGCTGATAATTTAACTGCTCAGAGGAAGAGAATTTAGATCTTAGCACAGACTCCATTATGCCTGTGCCGACATTTTGAATCAATAAAAGACTTTTAGGGAAATCTATGCCTGGAAGTTCTTTGAAGTGTTTCTTTAGCCGGAACCATAACACTGTGTTCACAATCATAAACACTTGATTGAGACTAATTTTTTTAATTATTTTGGATTTGCCTAAATACTAAGACCCTTTACTAAGTGACTCCCTTTTCCTTAAAGAAATAATTTTTAAATATAATTTTAAAGTCTGGGGAAAACATTACTTTTGGGATTTTTGAACCAATCTCTAGAATCTCTAGAACCCAAAACCAATCACCAACCCCAAGAAAACAAAGCAAACAGTGAGGCAGTTATGAAAAAAAAAACTCAAACAACAACCAGGAGACATAGGAAACACTCCCACAGATAGGCACAAATGTCTTAAATGCTTATATACAAATGCTCAAAGCTTGAGGAACAAACAGGGCGAACTATAAGCTATAGTATACGAGGAAGGGTATGCCATAGTTGGCATAACAGAAACCTGGTGGGACGAAACCCATGAATGGAATGGATTGATAAATAGATTCAAATTGTTCAAAAGAAACAGGTCTACAAAAAGAGGAGGGGGAGTTGCGCTATATGTAAGACAACACTACATATCTGCAGAAATGCACATGATCAAAGATAAAATCTCTCCAGAATGTATATGGGTCAATATAAAAGATAAAAAAGTGACATTGCCATAGGTGTATATTACCAATCAGAAGAAATAGACGAACTCTTTGTCAACCAGTTAACAAATGTATTTAGGGCGCATACCACACTAGTAATGAGAGATTTCAATTATCCAGATATCAACTGGGAGACAAACTCTGCGGTGAACAGGAGATCAAACAGATTCCTAACCAACCTAGCCGACAACTTTGTCACCCAAAAGATCGCGGAGGAACTAGACACAAAGTTATACTAGACTTAATCCTTACAAACAGAGAAGAAGTCATAGAGGGAATCAAAATTACTGGAACCTTGGGCGAAAGTGACCACATCATACTGGAATTTAATATAATGCAAACACTAGCAATAGAAAACAATCCAACCAAAGTCCTAAACTTCAAAAGAGCCGACTTTAACAAATTCAGAAAGAACCTAGAAAAAAATCTCATGGATGGAAATCCTAAAGGGGGAAACAGCCCAGGAAGTATGGGAAACCCTGAAAAATGTGATCACAAAAGCCCAGACCACCACAATACCACTGAGAGGAGATTTTAATCATTGCATATATATGCTGAGTTTCTTTGGAGAAATAGGAGGCTTGTAAAGCCAACACTGGGTGATTTGTTTTGTTCATTTAAAGCAGTGGTTCTCAACCTTTTTAATGCCATGATCCCCAACCGGTCGTAAGTCAAGGACTACCCAACTGGTCGTAAGTCAAGGACTACCCAACCGGTCATAAGTCGAGGACTTTCCCTGCCCGGGAGCGCCACGGTGCAAGGTGCATGGTGCTGCCCCCTGTGCCGGCCGAAGCGTAGCTGGCAAGCGGCAGAGATGGCGCAGGCCGACCACCGGCTGGGCCACCAGCTTGCCAAGGGAGGTAAGGTATCCGCCAGGCCCCATGCACTCCAGCAACCCTCCTTGCACCCGCCGGCCTCCCACCTCCCACCCCTGGCCCTCTTTTACTTACATTTTTAGTAGTTGCTCAAGAGGGAGGGGTGGAAACTTCCAGATAGCTCGCCTTCGCTGCAGACAACGTGCAGCACCGTTTGTAGAATGGGACTTTGGCGGGCTCAGCAGGGCAGAGACAGCCTGGACAATTCCTATTGGCTTTTGAAAGCCAATAGAATTAGACTCTATTCAAGAGAGTCTATTCTATTGGCTTTCAAAAGCCAATAGAATAAAAGGGAGTAACACAGTTAAGGAAAAGGGGAAAAAATGGCGGATTGCGTTGTTTGGCGATCCCCATGAAGTGGTCATTCGACCCCAAATGGGGTCCCGGCCCACAGGTTGAGAACCACTGATTTAAAGTAACATAGTCAGTATGACATTTACAGTTGCTCATACATAGCATGGAAAACAATCTCCAGATATTGAACAGTATTGACTTGCTCTTTTAAATGGTTATTTAATTGCCAGACATGTGCCATAGGGCACTTAGCAAAAATAATTATCTTGGTTTTAGAGTAATTAATTTGTAGCTCTTATTTTTAGAGTGCTTAATTAGTATACTGTAAAAGCATTCAATTCAGGACAATTATGTTGGAGAAAGCAGCATGACATTATCTGTATACAGAAAAACAGAAATGTCTCTATTTCCCAATTTTGACAGATGAAGAGGTGGCCTATTCCGTTTGTCTATAAGAGTTAATTTCTTTTGTGCAGTGTCACACTTTCATCTGGGAGGTTTTTATATAACTTATCCATAAGAAAAAAATAATCAATTGAAGAAGAGTTCAATTTTTCCCATAGTTTGCATCTAAACATGAAATCAAAAGCACATCTAAATGCTGTGCAGAGTGACATGTGAGTTCTGGAGGAGTAATTTTTAACTAGATGTTGGACAATTAAAGCATGGTTAGGTGGCTTTCTCTGAAGCCTGCCTGCTTGTCAGCCAAAATATTCTCAATTACAATCCATGAGCTTGTTATGCAAGTGTCTAGCATACAGTTTATTAACTACACTTAGAAGGCTGATGGGATAGTAATTGGTGGAATGGTTCTTTTTTGCTCTTTGTTCTGGCTAATATCTTCTATGTGTTTCTTCTTCCACAACATTTATTTTATTCTCTTCCCATTCACAATTTTCACCATGTTAGGACAAGCCTATAATTTCCAGGAAAGTTCAACCCCTGTCATCTCTCAGTTAGAGAAGATATCCAATGTGATGTAGTGATGAAGATGCTGCTTCATATCCAGTCTCAGGCATAGAAACTCACTGGATAATTTTGGAACAGTTACTATCTCCCAGGCCATCACAGTGTTTTTCAATATGGAAAATGGGAAGAGTGAGTGAAGTCCTTAAAAATGATTGCTTTTTTAAAAAATAAAATGAATATACAAAACATTAAAAATGAGCCTTTCCTTTCTATAGAAGATCATTCTATGCCAGCAAGAACAATCTTGCCTCTTTTTTCTCTCTCTCTGTGCACCCTTATTTCTTTCTTGTCCATGGCTTACCTCTCCTTGCCAGATGGGATTGACAGTGTTACACATAATCTTGGATCTTTTTTCCTGTCCATGGTGTGGAAGAGCTGGGAAGATGCTATGCTTTCCAGGCTGGATTGAAATTTTAAGGTAAGGATCTGGATTGAAGAACATTCCTTTCTTCAAACCAAAAGCTTGGAAATCTGCAAAATGTTAGATATCCATATTAGTACTATTTCTATATTCTGTTTAACTATTAGTCATACTTATCATTTAATACTTATCATTGTTAAATAAATATGGGTGATCTATGTTTAGTGACACAATTGGGATTGGCAATTCAGTCATTTTAAGTGAAGCAATCACTAAGTTAAACCATGACTGGTTTAACTTTATGATTTTATTTTATCTTTCCTTTGCTGTATAGATCTGCAAAGGTTGTAAATCTGAGGATTGGTCATACAGTCACTTTTTCATCATTATTGTAATAATAGCTAAATGAAGTCTTAATCAGAATAGAATAGAACAGAACAGAATAGAATATTGTATTGGCCAAGTGTGATTAGACACACAAGGAATTTGTCTCCAGTACATAAGATCTCACTGTACATACAAACAGCAAAGTAATATAATCATAAGATACCAATAAGAGAAGGCAATAGAAAAGATGAGAAGGATAATAATAATGTAGCCTTATTAAATGGGGAAATATCATTAGACATAAGACAGTGCTGTGGGAATTATCTGTTAAGCAGAGTGATCGCTTAAGGGAAAAAATTATCTTTGTATCTAGTTGTTTTACTATGCAATGCCCTATAGCGGCATCCTGAAGGGAGGAGATGAAACATTTTATGTCCAGGATGTAGATATTTTCTGTAGATATTTTCTCAGCCCTCTTTCTGACTCATGCAATATAGAGCTCTTCAATGGAAGGCAGGCTGGTTGAAATTGTTCTTTTCTGCAGTCCTAACTATCTTGAAGTCTGTATCTGTCTGATTACAGGTTCTGTATCTGTCCTGTCTACCAAACCAGACAGTTATCGAAGAACAAATGACAGACTCAATAATTCCTCTGTAGAACTGTAACAACAGATCTGATAACAAGATTCAAAACCAGTGAATTAAGTTTTGATTATTGCTCTGAGATGTAACCAAATAAAAGCACATTAAAAATCATGGTAGCGTTCATAATATATTAAATTGTAGCAAAAGGTTTGATGAAAATAGATGGGGGCAAAGATGCCTCAAATGCTGAAAGAATAAAAGGAATGTGCCCACCAAGGATGAAGCCACGTAAGAAAATAGAAAGAATTTATGTTCAGTGATACAAATCCAGAACAAAAAAAATGTTTTGAGAAACTGAATCCTGAAGAATCAGAAAAGGTTTCTCATGGCTTCTAGAATTGCTTCTAGAAAGAAGATAGGAATGAAACATGCAGCTTCCTTTCTCTGTCCTGAGGCTTTGGACTGGCCAAACTTCATTATGGCTAATAGAAGAATGTAAGTAGGAGAATGAACTTGGGCCACATTGGATATTCATGATCAAAATAAAATCCGGATAACTGAAATTGCCAGATACTCCTGCTATATAGATTGAAATGTTTGTATAACTAATATACAAAGAACAGTAGTGTTGTCCACTTTTGAAATGCATTTCTTGGGTTCATATGAATCAAAGAGAATGAAGACACCTGTTAAAATTCTCTAAGAATATTTTTCAACTCATTCTATTGATGAAGAGGATTATTATATTGTACATCATTTCTGGCTGTTTATAAATCATAGACCTCTGCATAAGTGTATTCAAGATGGACAGTGATTCATATTTTAAATGTTACTTATATGTAACAAAATGAAATTCAATGGTGAAAAAAAGTAAGGTTCTACATTTAGGCAAGAAAAACCAAATGTACAGGTATAATATAGGGGGTACCTTGCTCAACAGTAATAACTGTGAGAGGGATCTCTGAGTCCTAGTGGACAATCACTTAAATACGAGCCAGCAGTGTGCTGCAGCTGCCAAAAAAGTCAACACAGTGCGGGGCTGCATTAACAGAGGGATAGAATCAAGATCATGGGAAGTATTAATACCACTTTACAATGCCTTGGTAAGGCTGCACGGAATACTGCATCTAGTTTTGGTCACCATGATGTAAAAAAGATGTTGAACTCTACAAAGAGTACAGAGAAGAGCAACAAAGATGATTAGGGGACTGGAGGATAAAACATATAAGGAACAGTTGCTGGAATTGGAATTTAATGAAGAGAAGGACGAGGGGGGGCATGATAGCAGTGTTCCAATATCTCAGGGACTGCCACAAAGAAGAGAGAGTCAAGCTATTCTCCAAAATGCCTGAAGGCAGGACAAGAAGCAATGGATGGAAACTAATCAAGGAGAGAAGCAACCTAGAATTAAGGAGAAACTTCCTGACAGTTAGAACAATTAACCAGTGGAACAATCTGCCTCCAGAAACGGTGAATGCTCCAACACTAAAAGTTTTTAAGAAGAGACTGGACAGCCATTTGTCCTAAACGGTGTAGGGTTCTTATTATTATGGAAGGTGTAGGTCTGTACATATGTTGTATATAATATGTTTAAATGTATGTTATATATGTTTACACTTTGAGAGCAAGCAACTAAACTTAATTTTTAATGTGTGTCATTGTGCCCACAATAAAAAATGACAAGGTTATCTAAGTGATATATATCAATCTGTTTGAAAATGACAGCCAAATTTTAAAAACAAATGAGAACATAAGAAATGGATGAATATTTTTTCACTCATTTAAAAACTAGCATGAATTGCACATTTCATAACACAGATCAATTTTTGGAGATAAATCTATTAAAATGATTCAGTTAGAGAAACAATAATAATTTCACACACACACACACAGGCATGTGTGTATATATATTTGGAGATAGAGCAAATTAATGTTTTCTAATATAATTGTATATACCAGAACAGGGAGAGTGGCATAAATAAGGAAAATAACTTTTAAACAAACAAACAAACAAACAAAAAGCCCTGAGACTACAACCCCCACCATTTATAGCCAGCATATCTATTGAATATGACGAAAATTGTTGCTTAACATACAGGATGATTCCAAATGGATGAAGTTGGGATTCATATAAACTAATTAACTTGTATGAAGTTATGGGAGCTAATTCTAAAGAATAATATACAAGAATTAACTATAAAATATGTATAAGACTGATAAAAAAGAACATTATTTTATTAAAAGTTTCAGTATTTTTTTTTTGTCATGCCACTTAAAGCTCAACAAGTCTTGTCTAATCTGAATACAGTATTCCAAGAGCAAAATCCCTTCTCTTTTGTTGCCACCTGTCTATGAAGAAGAGAGCACCTGGAGTAGATATCTGATGAGCACCTTGCAGAATGATTAGTTTACATTGTAATAACATTATTTACTAAAATAAGAGGAAAGTTTTTTTTCAAAAAATCCAGAAAAATTCTTCAAGATGCAAATGTAGTTTTGTGCAGAAGATGGACAATTAATTAAACTTGGGTCCTGGTGATATTTCACTTATACATTGAAAAGAAGGAACTATTTAAATTTTTTAATGTTATTGCTAACAGATATAGCTGCTTTTTAACGGTTTTCAGAAATAAAAAACCAATTATGATTAAGTGGTTTTTAAGCCAGGAAAAATGTTGAGAAGAATGAAGGCCATATAGGTTTGGATTGTTAAAGTAATTTTCAAAACCTGCATTCCAAGAAGATGCAGCAATTTCTTATTAAGAAGGCCAGGAAATATTCTGGCTTCCCTGAAAGGCAGCTTATCCACCATCATTTTTTTCCTCTACAAAAGCTTGTCTAGAAATGAGACTTCACCAGATCGATAAAAAAACTAAGGAAAGATAGGATGTGTTTCTTAACAGATACGATGGAATGGAAAACAGGAAAATCACGGTCTAATCTAGACCAATCTAGACCAATCTCCCAAAGAGATGTACTGTGGAGTAAAAAAAGGGGGAAGAGCTGTCTGCAATACAAATATATTAAATAATGAGTCCTACTTTAAAAGTTACAGAAAATTCAAGTGAACATATTTTAATATGACAAGGCTTTTCTTGAGCAATAAATGTTTCATCTAATAAAGCAATTTTCTTACTATTCATTAACATTTATTATTTATTATAATAAATCTTCCAAATCTTTTAAAGTCACTATTGTGTGGCTCCTAATCAGTTAAAAAGGAATGTTTTTCAATAATTTACATCTACCATAATGCTTTACCCACTGACATTTGAAAGAATGGGATACATTTTACAATTTGCTCATTTTTATTATCTATAAGCACATTTCTTTAGTATTTCAAATCAAATCAATTTATTATTACAGCTGAAGACCAACACTTAAATTAAACATTCAAATAAAACAAAACTAAACAGAACCAACATAAGAAGACATAGCAATATATTACCATTAATGATGTAATCAATGGGTGACCAAGGTCTGCCTGGTTTTATAGACAGTATAAAAAAAAACACTAGCTAGTTTCAGAAAAACTGAATCATACTGACCTGACAATAAAAATACATTGATTATAGTCTAATGCTGGATAAAAACACGTAATAAACTTGATTATAAAACATTATTAAAAAGATCTAAAATGTTTATTTATGTTTCTGGCGAATCCCCAATGCTGCTGCACAGAATCTAGCCACCTGCGCCATGATCTCTGCCTGCTCGTCCTTAAGCAGCCACTGGAGATAAATATTTTCCGAATGACCAGGATACCTATCAATTATGGGGAGAATATGGTTTTTCCAAATAGCTTTATAGAAGGAACATCGAAGTAGTATGTGTCCAATGGTCTCCATGTCTCCTGAGCCACAGAGTTTTTCTGCCAATGGAGTCTTTTTATACTTGCTGCACAGGACGGCTGATGGAAATGCATGGCCCCGTGCAAGTGAGAATGCTTTCTGGTGATTTACTGACTCCAACTGACTAAGATACCTGGCAGGTGTAACCACGTATTTAATAGAGTCTGGAGCCAGAAACAGCGGAGCTATACCTATGTCCGCTTGCCTCTCGATGTCCTCTACTCTTTGATGCAAGGTTTGTTTTGCTTGATCATTATCCAATTTGAGAATTGAGGCTAATGAGAAGCCTAGTTTGGCAAGGTTGGACTTGACTGCCTTGATCCATGAAGAGGAGAATTTATCTTAAAG